TAAACTTTGTGGACCTTGAACTAATGACTAAGAGGAAATCTGGACCCTGTGGCTGGACCAGTTGGGAACCACTGTTTTAGGGGACATACTGGTGCAACAACAAGTCTGAGACAAAATCACTTAATAATATAAAACTTCAAACTGTCATCAATGTGTTGTTTAAATGCCCTGAGCAATAAAATACAACACATCTTCTATAACGTCCATTTTGTTTCCACATTACATCACAGGAAATGGGATTATCCAAGGAGCATGTGAATGCAGCATAAGCACAGCCTTACAGAGCAGCCAGCATGGCTGTAAACTCTTCACTGTTTATGTAGCGGTTACTATGCACGTCTCGTCGACCTCAACACTTACTGACTGTATGAAAAGTCTGCCAAACTGCTATATAAACTCTGAGGGACGGTGGGACAGGGGAAAATGAGTCATGGGCCCCTGTTGAGCCTCAGAGACCAGCACTTTTATGATCCAGGTTTGATGTATATCAGTCTGTGATAACTTGATGGGAATAAATGTTTTATTGATATGCACCATAATATCAGCTGGAATATAAAAGGGAATAAAACTTCATTTTGACACTGAGCCACTCTATAAGACAAGGCACAAGACAGAGAGTGAGGTAGTGGTGTGCTTGAGGACTGTCTTTATCACATGAAACTCAAGAAAAAAAGGCAGGTGAAGAAAAGGATCAGCACATGGGTCGAAAAAATAAACTTCAGGCACTCATGCGTGGAGCTGGAACAAATGCACTTTCATTAAATTAAAAGGCTTTATTAAAAAAACATGGCTGCTTACATTAAAACACCGACCGGTTTTGACCCTAACGTCTTCATCAGGGTGCAGAAGGGTGGACAGGAGTCAAGCAAACATTTTATAAACTTGGTAGGAGGTGTCACCCAGTCCTGACTGATAAGTGAATGCAGGTGGGTGACAGCAATGGGTCACAATGAGAGGCCATTTTAAGGCGATACGCCTCCACAAGTGTTCAGGGGGGAAAAAAAAAAGCCATCCTGAACAAAAATGAGAAATTGCTAAACAAACATCAAAATTACATCCATGAAAAAAATAAAGAAAGTAAGAAAAAAAAAGCAATTTCTTAATTTTAAAGGTTGCATCTATTTAGAAATATTTTATAGAAAAATAAGGTTTGTGTGTTTGATCATCTCTATCCCATGATGCTCAGGAGTTATATGATAATAATAATAATAAAAATTAAGAATAATAATCAGAATAAGAATAATAATATTTGGAATAATCAGAATAATATTCAGAATAATCAGAGTAATACTTGGAATATTAAGAATAACAATCAAAATAATAATCAGAATAATAAGAATTATAATTGGAATAATAAGAATAACAATCGGAATCATAAGAAGAATAATAAGAATAATAATAATCGGAATAATCAGAATCAGAATAATAAGAATTAGAATTGGAATAATAAATATAATAATCAGAATAATAATAATGATAGGGATAATAATAACAATAATAATAATCAGAATTCTAATGGGAATAATAAGAATAATAAGTATAATAATCAGAATAACAATTAGAGTAATAATAATGATAGATCAGCTGTCATGATATTTTGTATTTAAAGGAAGGGTGTGTAATCACTCTCCACTATTATTGCATCAAATTTAAAAATCCAAAAAGTTTCTCTTTGGAGAAGTCTGTGTAAATGATCCCCACCTCTGGTAGATGCCTGGACTCATTCTAACCCTTCTCTTCTCAATAAGGAATCATTACTATGGTGTACCTGTCTGAAGTGTTTGGCCATGGAGTCTTCATTCTGTGTCCTTATCGCGTATTTATGTTCTGAAAGTCTGTTTTTATTTGGGACGCAACGAAAGACGTTTTAAAACAAAAGCTGTATTACAACTGAAGTAGTACTACCTGAGGGTTTCTCTAACCACGTGGATTCACTTATCAGTCAGAATGGACACCCCCTACCGAGCTTATAAAATGTTTGCTTGACTCTCTTTCAATTCAGCTGCATTTGTTCCTGTTCCATACACGAGTGCCTGAAGTTCATTTTTTCTTCCAAGGGCACAAGACATGTTTAATTGGTGCATACTGGCAAAAAATATGTAATTAAACAAATGGCATTTACAACCTGAAGCCCTCAGGGCCCCTGATAGTCTGGAGCCAACCTGAAATCTCAAATATTAACCCCTCACTGCTCTGGAAAATTTGCTGAGCTGTCTCTAACCATTGCAACCATTGAACTACTGCACATCTGCAGCCTCCTACCTGCGCCGAACAACTCAATGTATGAGGTTTCCATTTACCTGCGCCTGTGCTCCCATAGGCCAGGTGCGGCGGGACGGTGACTGTCCTGCGCTCATTCACACACATCCCCTGCAGACCTTTGTCAACGCCTGCGATGAGCCGGCCCTCTCCCAGCAGGCCCACCTTCGCGTCTCCTCTCTGGTAGCTGTGCAGGAGGCAGAGACAGAGGAAATGTCAGAAGTGGGTCAACTTTAAAAGGCACTCTGGAAAAAAATCACTGCATCTGTGGGGCATGCTTTGCAAACTTATTTCGACAGATCTCAGTTTTTGTTACATTTCAGAAGCCCTAACCAGACTGTGGATCCGCTCTTATGGCCTCTGCAGCACAGTTAACTTTGCAAGCAAATGGACAAAAGTAAAAATCAATGCATTCACAAACTCAGATAAAACGCGGATGAACTCACCTCGAATCAAATGTTTTCCCGTCGACAAAAGTGGCGTTATAGTGATAGCGGACATAGTCTCCGTCTTTGGCTTCTCTGCCACAGACTTTCGGGATCAGATATCTGTCCACGACTACATCTCCTAACACAGGGCTGGGGTTACCCTCCACAGCAGAGAGGAGGAAAAAGACAAAGCAGTAGGCAAACATCTTCACACAATCACGTCAAACAGTAAATTATAAAAAGAGCCACAGCATGGAGAAGTTACAAGAAGATAGTCCTGGGTGCGTATTGTGCAGAGGGCCCGAGGGTGCAGATGTGGAGCTGTGGTGTCTGAAGGCTGTAAACGTGGACAATCTCCAGGTTGCAGTGAAGAGTTTTTGCCAGAGGGAAGGAATGTCAGAGCTGGGAGAGGAAGCGCCTCTGTCAAGCTCAGCACAATAAGTAAAGATCAGTACTTCCTTTAGAAAATAAAATCACAGTCAAAGGGAGATAAAGAAAAGTAGGGTTAAACAAATGAGTACAGGAAGAATACTGCCTCCACATTCTTCTACTTTGGGGTAAAATGACTTGGAACAATCTTCAAAAAGATCTAAAATTAGAAACAGTGATGAATCTAAGAGCATCATAAAGAATGTGGTGACAGAGACATGAGCTTGTTCTTCTTGAGAGGCCACTATGTTTGAATAGTTGTTGTTTTATTGTGGATTTTTGTATTATATGTTGTATTTGTTGCATTTTAAATGTGTTCTGATTGGCTGTTACTTCGGCCAGGTCTCATTTGTAAAAGAGAATTTCAATCTCAGTGGGACTTCCTGGTTAAATAAATAGATTTAGATAAAATACAATTTTCTCATAGGTCAGCCATTCAAACCATTATAACGTATTTAAAACTTAGATGTTATTTCTGATACATTACTTGTGTATAATGGTGTGTTAATTTTTCAGTGGAGACCTATTTTGAGGACACCACAGGTGTGGACTTGCATCATGTGACTTGGACTAGAGTCACAAGTTTTATGACTTTAGATCTGACTTGACAAAATAAAAAAAGATTTGTAACTGAACTTGACTCATGACTTCATTTGGACTGAAGCTTTTTGACTAGAAAACTCGTCTCCCACGCCCACTGATTGAAAAGGATGATATTTAAAAAGTGTGTCACCAATCAATCCATATCCTGAGTTAGCTATCATCAATGGTACTCATTCCCAACAAGTCATGATCCACTTTCTTTGAACCAATCCATCAGCAAGCAACCAAGTGGCAGGAGAGCACCGTAAAGAACTTAAATTATGTTCCTGAGCTCCAAAAAATGATACCAAAGATTATTTTCGGCTGCACAAAAACCTGTCAATGGTCAACACAAAAAGGAACTGCATTGCATGCAAAATGTGCGGGTCAAAAAATGTAGACAGAGATGCAACATCTTTCAACAAACTTGTTCTAACAAATAAATACACATTTTAAAAAGCATTCAGAATTTTTGTAATTGGATTTGGTGAAGAATGCATCTGGACTATTATTATTATTATTATTATTATTATTATTATTATTATTATTATTATCATCATCATCATCATCATCACTATGTTATTTATTCAATTTCATTTACTTAATTTTATTTTATTATTATTTTTAATTTTATTTATTTTTGTCCATTTCCTGCTTTTATTTTGAAAGAGAACTCGCCTTTACTTCTGTTTGGCTTGACTCTCCAGCACCGCTGTATCCAGCAGCACACAGACCCGCCTCCGTGGATCAGTCAGAGCCGTAAAGTAGCCTGAGAGCCCCAGACTTCCAGTTTTCCACTAATGCTGTGAAACTTTGAAGAAGCGCTCTCAAGTAGTGGAGTGGAAAAGGAGTGGGGAAAAAAAGGTCCAGTCTAGTCTGCGAGGGAGTTCACTTCCTGTCCCACATCCAGGAGACGTCTCAATATGAGAGGAACAAATAACAATCCCAAAACTACTGAGGGCAGAGCAACAACTGCTGAGAACAAAATGCAGCCATCTGATTCACACATAATTAGCGCATCCTAAAACTCTAAATGACCTTTTATAATAAACGACGGGACTGACATTTATGTTCTTGCAGTTTAATGTATCATATTTATGCTGACAGTAAACTTAAGTGAGCAAACAACAAATAAGACAACAATGCGCACAAGCGGTCACTTTTACGCACGCATATCATTGTGCCAAATAAAGCAACCCAGCAGTGTGTGACAGCTGAAGGCCTGCAGAGAAACCCGAGCCACTAACCTCTGAAAGGCCCAATCCCAGAATTCCCACCGACCCCTAAGCACTTGAGCAGACCACCACTCAGACACACTGAAGCCAGCCGGAGCAGACAGAGGGAGCAGACTAATATGTGGGTTATTATCTTATCATGCTTGTATTCTGCGCCAAAGGACACGCGTTGCTTTGTTTGACTTTTGTTTTTATGACAGCCGCGCAATATGAAAACTACAGCTTCATTAATTTCCCCACAGATGAGCTGGTGCCGCTCACCACTGCATATGGACTGGCTTTGGATCATTACGCAGCAGAGAACTGGACTGAATCGATCCAATATTTGGAGCTGAGTTTGCGTTTGCGCCGGCTGCTTAGAGACAGTGTGAGGTACTGCGTGCTGCACTGTAACAGCAGCAGACATGAAGAACCTGCCTTTGGGGGAAACCAGGAGCTCCGCTTCTACTGGCACGTTATGATGAGAGCGTCCTGTCAGAAGAAGTGCAGGGAGCACTTCCCCGCGCTGCAGCTCGCCCCTCCCAGCAGACACATCCTGGACGACTTCAGCAGAAGATCTCCATACAGATATCTGCACTTTGCGCACTCCAGGGTGAGACACACAAAGTTACAGGACACCCCATATCAACATAACACAGCCAGTTTTAAGGACTTTGTAAAAACTAAAATAATTTAAAATACATACACCATCTCAATGAGGATAAATCAACACAAAGTCCATCACATTTACTGACAAAATCAAGTCAGTATTTTAACATCACTGTTATTTCATTATTTTTACTATTTAGCACTCCACGCATTTTAAGTATGTAGACCCAGGGACTGTGTTGTGCCATATAAATGTTTGTGTTCTTTTATTCAGTCTTTTTATTCATGTTGCATGTTGATCCCAAAGAAACACTCTCATTCTGCCTTGCACAGAGATGTATGATAAAGTGATATCTGGATTCATTTTCTGAGACCTTAAATGTGTTCCAGTAAACCAGCAGACCTGAAATTGTCTTAAAAATGGATTCCAGGGATCACTAGCAATATGAGCAATAATACAGCTGCAAATTACTTATCAGGAATTACAGATATACTGAATGACAAGCAACACAAATGGTGCCTTTAAAGAAAAACAATTAAATGGTAGATTGCATCCTCAGTCGTGTCCCTTCGGCTCAGTTGAGTCCAGTACTTTGGATCTAGCTCAAGACCTTTATCATAGTCTTTCTCCAGTCCCCTCTGTATTTTAAAAGGGCAAAATACCCTAAGATAACCAGTAATAAATAGTGTTTGTAGTGTTTTTTTAGAATTAAACGCAACGAACCTGTGGAATTCTCTACCTCTGGAAATTTGAATGACAAGCTCTCTCTGTATTTTTAAACATAAATTAAAGACCTACCTTTTTTAATATTACAGTCTTGTTTTTTAAGTTTTAACCACTGGCTTTTATCATTTTTTAACCTCTCCTGTTTATTTCTATTCTATTTATCTATTCACTCTGTTTTTATTCTATGGAGTCACTCATGTGTTAGTTTGTTCTGTTTTAGTTGGTTTGCTTTTTTAATATTTTATTGTCTTGTGCCTGTGTCTTTCCAGTTTTGCCATGTGAAGCACTTTAGGCTGCATGTTTGTATGAAGGGTGCTATATGAATAAAGTTGAGTTGAGATGAGTTGAGGTATCCTCTATGGATAGATTACTGGGCCCACAGAGTCAGCTCCCCCCCCCACCCACATAACAACCAGATACAGACACAAAATGACCTCAAAGAAACAAAAAAAAAAATCACAAAAAGACACAAAATGACCTCAACGAGACACTTAACAACCAAAAAAGGCACAAAATGACCTCAACGAGGTCACAAAACAACCAAAAGGTACATAAAATAACACAAAATAACTACAACAACAAAGAGGCAAAATCACCAAGTCTCTGTGTGTGTCTCCACTCCTGTGTAAGAGGGTGGCAGGGCCCATTACTTGTCTGTGCCCAGGGACCTGTTGTCTCATAATCCGCCCATGCCTGTAGCATCCTACCAAGTTATACAACACAAGAAACAAAACACTGAATGTCTCTGTCACTAATCCTCCCAACAACAGCTGATGTAATTCAGAGTTTCTCCCCCAGCTCAATGATCTGCAGAGCGCCATCCCATGTGCCTACACCTACCTCCAGAAGAACCCTGAGGACCAGGAGATGCAGCAGCTGATGGAGGAGTACAAGAGCCAGTACGACCTGAGCGGCTACCTCACCGACCACGAAGAACAACCACATGAGGTGAGGACCAGTTGCCCATTCTTTGTACAACACACAGCGTACAGTTTAATCTCACATCAACAGCATTACAAATCTTCTGGTCTCAGTTTCTGAAGTGAAAACGTGGATCAATCATTTCCTTTCTAGGCCTCCTTTGTGAGAGGAGTGAAACTCATCAACTCAGGTGACTTCAGCAGGGGTGTTGAACACATGGAGGACGCTCTGAGACTATACCTCCACGAGTATGACCTCTGTCAGGCTGACTGTGAAGGGATCAGTCAGCTTACACCACACACTGACTTCTACGCAGTCATAGCAGGTTGGTATGACGTATTTAATTTACTACAGTTGTCTGACAGCTTTAGTTACTTTTTAAATTTAGATTCATCATAAAAACACATATAATAAGATAATAAAATGCAACATATATTAAAGATTAAACCAGTGGTCATCTACCTTTTTGGCTTGCAGTGTTCAAAGTTGTTTGTCCTCCTTCCTCTCCCATAAATCATCTCACAACTTCTCAAATTTATCCTTGTGACCCTTTGGAGGGACCCGACCCTCCTGTTAAGAACCACTGGACCACACTACCAAACTGTATATGAGGCAGATAAAGCTAGCTCTACTTGAGATGTATTTGGACCCAAGGACGACTAGCTGATGCTAGGCCGTTAGCTAATGGGGATCCTAATAAACTAGACTAAACTAAAATATTAAAGCTAGTGTAGGCAGCTTATTTTACAGGTGTTTTTTTCTGTTATATTTGATGGAATTACATTTACATCCTGATAACAATCAAAAAATGAAATGCTCTAGAAAAAAAAGAAACAAATAAACTAAACTAAAATGTTGCCAATAGTTTAGCTTTCTGCTAACCTGAGCTAAAAGCTCACAGCTTCCAGTGTGTCCTCCACCTCACTCCCTGCCGCTACAGACCACTTTGCCTGGAGGAGGGTGGGCAGCAGCTCCAGAGATGGAACCCAGTCAGTGGGCGCCACAACACTAATCCAGCCAGCAAACAGGTTAGACCCTGAGCTGCTGCTGGCCACAAGCCTGCTGTGACACCCTGCACCAAGTGGGTTTATGCTGGCCGAATTCAACTTTTATTGTATGTTGTCTTACCTGACCAATGTTAAGACTGATGGAATAAATGTGTTTAGTCTCTAGGTTTTGTTTCGCCTTAGGTGTTCTGTATGCGCTGTCTTTTCTTTAATCTAGACAACTCTTTCATAAACACATTTTAAATACAATTTGCTTTATGTCTGGGCCCCTATTCTCAAGCTTTCGATAACTTATCAGGGTGCTCCATTTCTCCATTACTTCATTTGAATTGTACATGTGTTTTTTCTTCATGTTTTTGTGAATTAATGAATGAAAGTTGCTACGACCGCAGACCAAAGGTCAGTCTCCCAAGCTGCTGCCTCCCTCTCCTCCCAAGAAAGCATTCCACAGCGGCGGAGAGCGAGGTGAACATTTGTTGTCTGATAAACAGAGACAGAGGAGAGGCTGAGTGAATGAACTGAGGGCAGCTATAAATCAATGTCTTGGAAACACTGGGTTACTGTATGAAGCACGTGCATATGACCGTGGTCATCTGGTGGGAGGGGCTTAAGATGCAGACGGGAGAACTGCAGGAGGAGGGATAGATTTCTGCCTACCCCAGCTCTAATATAAGACTCGCAGTGGCTATTTTACAGCAAAATGAGTACTTTTGTGTTGACACTTTGAACACATCTTGTTGACGATACTTGTTCTTTTAAATAAGGATTATAATGCAGCACTTTTCCTTGGAATTAAGTACTTTTACATTCATGTATTGGTACTTAAGTAAAGGGTCTGAATACTTCCACCACTGTCTCTGGTTTTATTCTCACTGAATAACCTCTGCTTTGCTTTCCTACAGATGTTTACATTGACGTGTTACGCTGTAAGCTCAGATGTGAAGAAAACTTGAAGCCTAATGTCGGGGGTTATTTCGTGGAGAAATTTGTGGCCACTATTTACCACTACCTGCAGTACGCCTATTATAAGAGTAAGTTTATGACTGTAACTGAGCTTTTCATCACTGCTCTTATAACACCAGCACTCATCTGTGTATCTGCTGTTTTATCTCTGACCAGTGAACGACGGCCGCAGTGCGGTGCCCTGTGCGTACAGCTACTTCCTGTTTGAATCTGAGGATCAGGTCATGAAGCAGAACCTGCAGTACTATAAAGCCTACAGTGAACAGTGGGGGCTTCAGGCTGAACACTTCACACCCAGGATGGTGAGAGGAAATATTAAATATGTCGTCTGTCTCATCTAATGTTACAAAAACTAAACTAAGGAACACACAGTTTGTCCTCATCTGACAGTTACACCAACATTACACTGCTAAGGCAAGAAAATGGCCGAGATTCAAATTCACACTGTCAAGTTAAAGGGAAAATGTGCAGTTCAACCTGTCTTTATTATTTTCAGTCCATCATATAATCAATCAGTTGTTCTCTTTGCTGAAAACCACCAATCAAACAGTTCTTATTTAGTTTGTCATTCTTACTTTAGTCCCGTCTCTGTTTAAACAGGAGGCTCTCAAACTCTACAACCTCACTGTCACTCAAAAGCAGATGCTGACATCTGCAGAGAAGTACGCAGAGATGGGTGATGAGGTGAGTTTAAGGAACATATTTACTTAAAGGTACACTATGCAGGATTGTCATTTTTACTTGCTAATGAAAGTAAAGTCAGCCCCAGATTCACTCTCATTTGGCGTTTTGCCTTGCTATATGTGCATTTTTTCTGCGCTGTGTCTCTTGAGGCCCTGACACACCAAACACAGTCAGCCATCGGACAATGCCAGGCTGTCAGTGAGCATCTGTCACCCTAATTTTTGTGTTGTGTACTTCGTTGTTTTAGGAATATTCTGCATAATATACCTTCAACAAGTGCCTCTCATTTACCAGAAATAAGGAATTTAAAACTTTGAAGCTACGCAGGACGTCATTACATTGTGCTGCTATTCTTGAGTGACATGAAAACAAAAGGCTTGTTTCCTAAATGTTGGAAATAAGGAAAACTTAAACGACCGTGATAAGAGAAAGCCTTGAAAAAATATTGATTCATCTAAAGAGTGTGAAAGTTGTTTGTATACGGTAGTTATGGAACAGTTCTAAGAGTCATTTTAATCATAAATTATTTTTGGGGTGTTTCTCTCAGGATTTTCTTGGACCAGAGGGAGCAGCACTTTTGGCCTCAGAGTCCCCTGATGTTGAGTTTGAGGGTATGGGAGACTACGAGGAGTCGATCTACGCTGACTGGAGGCAGCCGAAGGGCAAAGGAGACTCTGGGGAGTCAGATATCTGAAGACAGCTGAGAGTCAGAGTTTAACACTCAACAGTAGATCTGAAGATGTCAGTGATCATTCGTCAGTCAGGTCTTTAACGTTTAAGTGTCATGTCCTCTTCTGTCCTCACAGTTTGTTAATTATTCTCATTTGTATCCGTCTACTGTTTTTAAGGAATAAAATAAAGTCAATAATAACTGTTTCCACTTATTAAAATCTAGATCAGTCAGAGATTTAGAAGCACTCTGTAGTTTTTATCTTGATGCTGTTACGTTAAGTATATTATAGTGCAGCGTAGATTTATCACCAATAAAACAATGTATAAATTGGGCGCCACACAGGAGAATAAGCACAATCCTACACTGTCTTATTTTAGGAAAAATAGTAATTTAAACTAGTTGGGGAATTAGCCCGGTTAGCTTGTATCCACCGCTACAAAACATGAAGGAAAAACATAAATTATCATTTCATTCATCAGTTAAACCTCTTTATATTCAACCCAAAACAGACTCAAATCAAATGATTATGGTTAATAATCAAACACAAGATTTCACACACCAATTTCCTATTAATTTAAAAAAAAAAAAATCCAGAAACCAATGCCAGTCCATTAAATAAATCAATCCAAGGAGGACCCTGTGAGTGAGTGTGTGTGTGTGTGTGTGCGTGCGTGCGTGCGTGTGATGTTATCTGATGGTCGCTGCAAAGAGGTCCACCAATGCGTCCAAACAGGTTTCAGACTACGATGACGAGTGCCTTCATCCCAGCTGCTCCATGGATCAGTTCACTTCTTCAAGAAGCTTTGTTATCCAGAAACATTCACGCTGTCCAGCCGGTACATGTTTAAACTACTGCTCCCTTTACTTTTGACTTGATGTGTTTTTCCTTTAAGGTTTTTGGGCCAAGACGTCCAAAACTGAAGTCAACTTTGAAGTTCTTATCTTTGAGCCATTCTGTTCTCCTTCATGCATGTGTTGGTTGATGTCTCCCCACTTCCCCCAGCTCACAGGTGTTTAACTCCAGGTTTAACTCTTGAACTGCTGCGATTCATATTCGCATATGGCAAACTAAATATTAATCTAGTTTTTACTTGTATTAAGAACATATTTATGTTCATACTGTGAGAGACACAGATAACATCCCAGTCCTCAACACAAGCTGCAGAAACATCACTGACGTTCAATAAATATTTACAAATATTTACAAATACAGCCTGTTTACAAAGAGGGGGAAACTACAGGCCAGTTTCAAGTTAACTCTTCACCAGCACAGGTTCATCACAGCTGCACTGTAAATCTACACTGCTCAAATTTTTTAAAATAATTTTATCAAAGCAACTCATAATGTGACTAGTGTGTACGGCCCCTGTGTGCCTGTATGCACTCCTGACAACATCTGGGCATGCTCCTGATGAGTCGGCAGATTGTGTCCCGGGGGATCTCCTCCCAGACCTAGATCAGGGCATCACTGAGCTCCTGGACAGTCTGTGGTGGTACTTGGCAGCGTCTGATGCACCGATACATAACTTCCCACAGGTGCTAAATTGGATTTAACTGCCTTCACACTCTGGCTTTGGCGTTGTACTTCCTCAGCAGACGGATTGATATCTTTGAAGTTTAACTGACTTGGTCACAGTATCACAGAGGAAGAAGGAACGTGTGCGGTTTGGGGACCTCAAAATTACGTCTCTGTTCTTTGCAGATGATGTCGTTCTGTTGGCTTCATCACACCGTGACCTCCAGCAGGCACTGGGGTGGTCTGCAGTCGAGTGTGGAGCAGTTAGGATGAGAGTCAGCACCTCCAAGTCTGAGGCCATGGTCTTCTGTAGGAAACCGGTGGATTGCCCCCTCTGGTTTGGGAGAGATTCACTGCCTCAAACGAGGGAGTTCAAGTATCTCAGGGTGTTGTTCACAAGTGAGGGTAGAATGGAGAATGAGACAGACAGGCGGTTCACAGCGTTGCAGGTGTTGGACCTTTATGGTGAAGAGGGAGCTGAGCTGAAAGACAAAGCTCTTGATTTATGTGGCCATCCAGCTCAGACTCTCATCTATGGTCATGAGCTATGGTGACCAAAAGAATGAGAACATAAATGTAAGCGATTGAAATGAGTTTCCTCCATGGGGTGGCTGGGCTCAGCCTTAGAGATAGGGTGAGGAGCTCAGAAATCCGGAGGGAACTCAGAGCAGAGTTGCTCCTTCACCTCAAAAGGGAAGATTGAGATGGTTCAAGGTGGTTCAGGAAATCAGAATGCCTCCTGGCATCCCGTTAGAGATGTGCCTGCCACGTCCCACTGGTAGGAGCCACAAGGGCAGACCCAGAACATGCTGGAAGGATAGCATATCTCATCTGGCCTGGGAACGCCTTGGGGTCCCCCAGGAGGAGCTGGAAAGCATTGCTGGGGACGTTTAGACTTTGCTCAGTCTGTCACCCCTGCAAAACGGCCCCAGGCAAGCGGAAGAAAATGGATGGATGGAAATGATTCAAACTGAGCATAGCGTTAGTTCAGGCAGGACACGATGTCAAGCTCTGCTCACATCCCAGCTACAGCAGCTGATCTCAAAAAGCCCAATCAACTGATGGAACAGGTGATTGATGGAAGGGAGTCAGCTGATAGATCACGTTTCCTTTCTAGCCTTGGGCTTTCCTTGTTTGCATGTGGAAAGGCGGAGAGGTGTGCTTTATCCACCTTAGGCTTTCCACATAGGCACATGGAAGACACTTTCTGCATAGGCCTAAGAAAATTAAAGGGGCCCCAGAACAGAGCCATACAGCCAAATATAACACTGCAAATGGAAATAAAGTTTTCTTTGACTGAAGTGTTTCTGACTGAAATCTAATAGTGTTAATCCTGAAATACACTTCCATTTAATGTAATAAATGTTTCATGGCTGTACACTAATATTTTGACAAACATTCATCAAAGTTCAGCGATTTATCACAACAAAAGAGTACTTTCATAATGCTTCTTCCATACAAACACTTTTCGTATATGTCATCATGCTCAAGTTTGTGAATATGTTGTAACATCACCATCATTTTTGTGGTAAACTGTGATAATACTTACTGCTGTTATCGCAAGCAGGGAAATAAGACAATGTAAGTGCAACTCGTATATTATTGTGAAATTATGCAAACAGGATTTTTGAACTCTACTATAAACTTTACCCAAGTTTCTTGGAAGTTTTTCCATTAGCAGATGTTTTCCAGACACATATCAAATTCAACGCACAGTCACTGTTATTCAGATATATTTTAATATACAGTAATATGAGTATTTACATTATACGCTAATACTGGTTATCTTGTTGTAAGACTAAACAATGTCGACTTCCGTGTGTGAATGGCGCCAAAGTCCTCTGATGAGTCCAACTACAACATGTGATCACAGACGATGGCGGTAAACACAGTGTGACCTGAGCTTTCAGCCGAGTCTGTCCTTGAGTATTAGGTTTATACATACGGAATAAAGAGTTCAAGTATGATTAAAGGGACACACTTTGACATTTTAGATTGGATTTTTAACCTCACATGCTATTACAAGTCAAAAAGGTTCACATCCTGTCTTCAAAAACCAATGTCCGTGACTAACCTTTAGTCAATTAGGAATGTAATTTAGTTTTTTTTTTAATTGTTTGTCATTTCAGAGGCAGAGAAAATGTCAACATGTTCCTTTAATGCTACTATGGGTTGACTGGCAGTGTAACTTGGATCATCTCTTCTGGCACCTGTGCTATTCTTTATTGTTATCTAGTGATAAGAAGCTTCTTAAGCAGACTTCGTACATAATAACATCCTCTAAACCTGATTTAAGACTCTCCTGTGATAGGAGAGGACAAATGGAGTGATGCACATAAAAGCTGCAGAATTGGACTCTTTTCCCTCCACTTTTACCCTTGAACACACTCTGCTAATTAATTATGTTTTAAATGTACATATTTATTGCTTATCATATGATCTGTTCAGTCATAGTTAAATTGTCTGACACCATTTAGAGATAAAGCATATTTCAAATTGCCATTTCTACGGTCACCTCAGGGTGACTGAGCACATAGAAGCCAAATATTAATTTTTGTACACGTGTGGAATCAAGGGAGATTTTGTGGTTAATCTGAGCTTGGAAATCTGTGATCTATGCCACTGGTTCCCAACCTTTTTACTTCAGGGATCCATCCATTCTATGACTGAATCAAGACTGACTGAATTCTCTGTCAGTATTATGTATTTTGTTTTTATTTTTTAACAATCATAGATATTTAAATGGTTTCTTTTTTGACGAATTCAGTGTTTTCTTCTCCCTAACATCTGGTCATTGTTCTGTTGGCTCTTGAGTTGTCTTACTGCGCACTTTCCTAATGCAGGACGAGGCTGTTGAGTGAAGACTCTCTGAATATAACTTGTGTTCAGGTCTTCACTGTGCCCTTATCCTGTGAGAATATTTTCTTAAGTTCTATCTTGAATAATTGAAACTTTTAAACAAAAAATTCACTTAGTTTCCTCCAGAGAAATGAATTAAAGTGTGGTTTAGGACCCCAAGGTTGGGAACCAGTGATCTATGTCATAATTTTGTAGTTTGAAAATCTCTCAGAGGCATGTATGAAACATACAACACACCTACATTATTCTGAGGCCCTGTAGCTTGTTGCCCCAGCTGTGAATAAGTTCAAACTTAGCCTAGTCCAAACCAGTCTCACTCCGAACTTGTCAAATACCACAACTTGATCAGAGCCCTTGATGTGAAACCAAAACCAGTCGAGTTATTTTGATATCAACGTAGTATACTAGTATATATAGCATACGATGCACGTATGTCACACTGTGTTAGTAGCAAACGTTATGTTACTTATTTTAAGCTGAACCATGTTTTACTCTAAACCTGACCACGTGCCTTTGTTGACTAAACCTAAATAGGTTAACCTAAAATCAAAGGGTTTTTTTAACCTACATTTTTCAACACGTAATTGGCAAAAACTGCAGTTCCTCTAATGGCCACTTGAGGCTGGCTCCAGAAGCCAGTCAGTCCCCATAGGCCCTCGTGTTTAAATGCCCAACATGAGCAACAGACTGCGTGTGAGGCCTCGCTACAGTCTATGAGTCAGATCCACCCCTCGCTGCTCTACAGCTCCACCCACCCACTCCACCCTCTCTTCCAAATATGGTCACAAACCATACAAAACAATGGTGACGGCCGAAAGCTCACAAATCAATGGGGGACGTCACGGTAGCGGTCTATGAGTTTCACGTATAGGGTCACTGACCAAGAGCTGGAATTTGATGAGTTGGGAGTGAGATTGTGAACTCCAGTTATAATGTAACTTATTACTTAGTATTGATTTATGCATGGCTTAAAAAAAAAAAAAAAAAAAAAAAAAAAAAAAGCAGTTGCACCTTAAAGATAAGTGACAACGTAACTCTAAGTAACAGCTAAACAGTTAACAAGGTATAAATCATAAAAACTCACAAAATTACACTCAATGATAAAACTGCAGTTTTTTCAGCCACACGTCATTTTTTCAAACCACTCGAGACTTAATTTAGTGATATAGCATTTCAATATCGATCTAGCTTACAGTATGCTTCAATTAAAAGTAGCTCATGCCGACCAGAAAGCTGATGTGCACCATAACTATCACAATGAACCTCTACCTTTCACCATTGATTGGCCACTTGCCTTAGTTATGACTTAAAACTGTAGGTTTTGCCCCAAGGATCGTGGTGCAACCGATTTTAGAAGCTGATTAACTTACAAACCTCTTACAAAGGAGAGAACTTACACAGAGCTGGTGCAACCCAGTGCAGGCATCCAACAATTTTGGAGCTCAGACTCCTCTAAACTGCAAAGATTCACATCCTCTCGCTAATTACATCCCCGAAATGAGCAGTTTTACACTGAGAAGCACACTTGTGCTTCCATTCACAGCGGCAGTGAGTCACTGCTGTCTTAATGAGTCAACCTTATGATACACTATGTACATCAGCACCCATGTTTAGCATACTTGTATGCATATTGGTTGTATATGGATTACATATCATACAGCGGAGTAAAACATTCGGCATGTAGTACCGAAAAGTACTTCATCTGAGACACAGCGAGCGTTCTTGCAGGTCTGAACTATACATTCATACATTAATGCATATTATGTAGAAGCATTGATTTAGGGATGGACTACTCTTTGATAATGAAAGGCAGCATAAGAGGCGAACATATGGCTATTACTGTGGAATGTGAAGGCCTAGCACACAAAAACAACCCTCATCTACACATAAAATATCAACACTCACTATTTGGTGATATTTATACATTTCTATTGCAGTTAAAGTCACACCACTGAGAGGACGTGGTTGTGTTCTCCATGAGGTTAAATATGTATTGAAACAAAGGGCTTCCCAAAAAAATGTCCCGACGAGGAAAAGCACATGGCCTTCTTCCATGAAATCACTTAAAGGGGTAAAGGACGATAACAGTTGCTATGGCAGAAGATCAGCTGTAACCAGTGGAAGGGAAAACAAAACCAACGATGTCAGCATCTGGAACCAGACAATCCCTGACAGCCTTTCAGTTCCGGTGGGAACGTGTCCTCTTGGCTTCCATAACGCAGTTAAAAATAATAATCATAATGAGACTTTCCAGGAGGAGAATATAAACGGAGCACGGTTAATGACATCAGAAAAGGAAACAGAAAAGGTCTGAGGGCTTGTAAGTGGAAGACATCTTTGTTTTGTCTCCTCGGAGCGGACTGGACACAGTGTAAGGAAGACAGGACAGCAAAGAGATACGACTCAGACTCCCGAAGATCTGGAAAGAGAAGAGGAATGAAGTGGAGAGAGAAGAGGACGAGATTAGGAGGGGAAAATAAAGAGGAGGGAGGAAGAGGAAGAAAAACACTGAGGAATCTGGCAGAACCAACAGGACAGCTGAGACGAATTAAAATATGGAAGAGACTGATGAGAGCCACGACACATGATTATTTGCTTTATAGATTAATTTTCAGATTCTTCTTTTCATTTAAAGGTCCAGTGTCTAGAATTTAGAGGAATATATTGGCAGAAATGGAATATAATATTCATAACTTTATCGTCATTATTTTACAATCACCTGAAAATTAGAATCATGTTTTGTTACCATTTATATCTACAAACAGAATGGGTCCTCTTCCACGGACTCCGCCATATTGTTTCTACAATAGATAGCGCCACTCACGTTTTCGTACACACTTGGCACATGAGAAGTTTGCAGTCTGCAACCTCACCACTAGATGCCACTAAATCCTACACATTGGACCTTTAAAGGAACAGTGTGTAAGATTTAGTGGAATTTAGTGACATCTAGTGGTGAGGCTGTAGATTACAACCAGCTGAAACTTGTCCTGGTTAGAATCCCTTCAGTGTTCATTGGTCAGGAGGTTTGTACTGGGAGCCTGGGATTATACACAGAGGTCTCTTCATCTCGAAACAAACAGACCCGATCATTTAAAGCAGTAAGAACACCGAATAAAGCAGCTTCACGTTAAAAATTGGTGTTTCTCGTGGAGGGGCTGCTAAGTACGGTAGCCAACATGAAAATGTGAATGACCCTATCTAGAGCCAGTGTTTGGTTTGCCCGTTTTGGGCGACTGTAGAAACTCAGTAACATGGTGGAATCCTTTGATAAGGGCTCCGTATGTAGATATAAACGGCTCACTGGAAACAAAACAGGAAACAAAAACGTAACATTTCTTATTTTCACGTGATTATACACTAAGAAATATACTTACTTAATACTTCTGTATTGGTCTATAAGCATTTCAACCCATTTGGCGGAAAAAAATTGGCATTATACATTTCGGCAAACCATAAATACTTTACAGTTGCAGTTTCATACATGTATCAAAGTTTCTAAAGTGACGAAATATGGGAGCTGACTTGTCATCAGGAGGGGACATGGATGGTGTGACCACTATTTGAGACCAACAAACAAACAAAACTGGCTGCGTTTTAGCCAGTTATTGCTGTGTCCCATCAGCTTTTGGGCTCCAATCATAGGTGTTATGTAGCAACCCGATGGCGGGGATAGTGCCACCAAAAGCAGCTGTTTTTTTTACTGAGACATCGCCCCTTTTCCTGCCAAGATTGTGCCTTCAGAACAAGTATTTTAAGCCAAACATGATCTTTTTTTAGCCATACCAAAGTGTTTTTTGTGCCTAGCCATAACCACGTTAACCACAGCACTGCTGAAACATAAACTTTGAACTTATCCACTTCTCAATAGCATGCAAATGTAATGTATCCGTGGTTTGCATAAACATTCAATGCCAACAATTTTTTCTAGCAAACGGGTTGATGATTTCATGGAGCACAAGGTGACATCCAAATTATTGTCCAAAACCCAAAGACGTTCAAATTAAAATATCATAAGATGAGGAAATTCTCTTGTTTGAGAACCTGAAACCATCAAATGTTTGACATTTTTGCAAAAAATAAAAAATAAAAAAATATAAATGACTAACAATTAAAGAATTATCAAAATAAACGTAGTTGTTCATCGTTGCAGTTGTAATGCAGACAAATAAAAGAATAACAAAAATAACCAAAAACTTAAAAGAGGCGTGAACCTTTTATTATTTAAACTCTTATGAAATGAACATTACAAAGTCGTCACTGCAGCTATATTCTAGAAATGGCAACCAAATTAATGAGGGGACATGCAGTACAAATAATAACTAAACAATCTAGGATTACAGATAGTGATACCAAAAATATGATTGACTTTTTTGGTGTATCTTAAATGACTATCTATGGAAGGGGACCTCAATCTAGGATAGGCCACATAAATGCTGTAGTTTGTGGCATTGGTTCATGCTTTATACGTGTCCCTATACAAATAAACATTAATTAAAAAACAGAATATAGATATATAGAAATATATTTAAGGTTCCCAACGGATAAAGAAGTTGAAGGATTCTTATAAAACAGATGGCGTTACGTTGACATAATGAACGGTAATTCAAGACAATGTTTTCAGGATCAGCACTGAAAGGCGGGATCGTACCTTCCTCTCCGGATGTTCCTGGAGCCGCAGTGAGGCAGAAACAAGATGGAGGGAGCAGACAAAAAAGACAGACAACAAGTGAAGTAGAAAGACAGGTAAGACCATCAACTGTTGTTTAATGTGCCCGAGAGTCAGAGTGAAAGAAAGAAAAAACATGCAATGAACCCAAGGCCTTAAAAGCAAAGCATTAGAGAGGCATTTCAAACTTGTTTATGTTTTGTAATCCAGGCAGGTCTGATGCTATCATCAAGCTTCAGTCGTGAGATTAAAGGCAACAGATAACAGCCGCAGACAAGCATTTTAGTTTCTTTGCATCCTGCAGGCATGCCACAGCAAGGCTAACATGAGGCAACACAGCATCGTAGAGTGTGAGTAAAACAAACTGCAGAAAGAAGATCCAGGCGTGCAGAGAGGAGCATGGAAAGAGCTCATCAATCTATTTATCTGTTTGGGATTGTAGGAAATCTGCATCACTACTTCACTTATTTAGCATCGCAATACTGTCAACTCTGTCAGACTCAAGAGGGACCGATAAAAAATACAAATAAACCTTTTATTTTAATTCCATGCATTCTTCTACTTTGTCAAAACCTGGCAACTACATTACCCACAACTCGGCCACCGACAGTTCAGTTGGAAATTTAAGTGTGTTATGCTAGCAGTAGCTAATGGAGCCATGAGCTGCTAGCCTCAAGCTAAGATGAAGAGCGAGTTACAGAAGTCTGGTGAGATCACTTCTTTCTAACTCCACACCAACACATTTTTTTTTTTTTCATTTTACAACTTGTAGTCTTCAGCTCAAACCGGGACTGACTCAACTTCTGCCTGTGTTTGACCTAGACTGATGAACACTCTGATGCAGGGTGAATAATGGGTACTTCTTGATCTGACAATTTCAGCCTAAATCAGTTGTTACAGTTGTCAAAACGTTATCTATGCATGCTGGCGTAGCACTGCTGATCTCTGATAAACATTGTGCATAAGTAATAAGAGGAAACAACCTTTTGCTTTCTTGTGATGACGGGTTGATTATCTCATTTTGCAAGCACAGCTGTTCTCGTCTTCCTTAATTTCAGCACTACTTATCTCGTTTATCTCGTTACAAATGAGACAAATTTGGTTTCAACAGTCCAGTGAACAAGGTTTTACAGTTTTTAGCAAATCAAATAAACATCATGCATATCGCACAGCTGCAAATCAACTCATACTATGATGAGAATTTCCTCAAAGAGCCTAATGAGGATTTCTATCTACTTTCATTCATGCTCCCATCCTCCCCGCAGATGGGAACCCATCTCCCACACGTCGACCAGCGCCAACAATAAACCCACGTGGTCTCTGGTTGTGAGTATGGATCAGACAACAAGCAGAGGAGCATTCAGCAGCGAGCCGCAGGCGTGTGTGTTAGCTGACAGAGGAACACAGCAGGCACACACAGATGGAGACATGCCAGAGCTCTTACTTAAATCCCCAGCCAGTTCCCCCCAGGACTATCGCTGCCACCAGAATGGCCCCAGCGACCGAACCTATTATGATATTGGTGCCACTGGGACCTGTGGGAGTGAAGGAGTCAACCAGTGAGGGGGGAGAAAAAGCATGTGAGTTACATACAGCCAGTTGTTTATAATAATCACTGCTGTCGTTAACAGGCTTATAAGCAGTGATGACTGGAGCGGCCCACAGCTGGAGAGGGCCTGAAATTAGTTTCAGTAGTTTGTATGATATAGTGAATAGGTGACTGGGGTAACTTGTGTAAATACAAGGCATACGTGTATAGAGACTTGGACTCCCTTCTGATGTCCACCATAGCAACTTATTTGAAAAAAAAAAAAGCTTGTTTGATCCCTTTTGACTTGTGCCATGTATTACACATACGATGTTTGTCAATTTAAAACATAATTTAGCCAGTTAAGAAATTTGCAGTTTCTTGTTGTCACAGTTTTGTGTGAAACCGCTCAGGGAATTCAAAGACAAAGACAAAGATTTTATTCGCCATTTGTGCACAAACCAGACGGTCTAAGCACATAGGAATTCTTGTGCAGGGTTTCCCCAAGTCAAGTTCAGAATATAAAAACAAGAAGAAGAGAGAGAGAGAGAGAGAGAGTGCAGCACAATAAATAGTTATAAAAATATACAAATTTAAAAACTGGGATTAAGACAAATTGCACATTATACATTACAGTATACTTAGCAGCAAGAATTCACAGTGTAAGCATACACACATGGGTAGCATCATTATTGCACATAGTAAGTGGGGGTGGGGTGGTGAGGGTTATTGCACATTATCTTTCTAGTATATGGATTTGGGTTCAGATGTACTTTGTTTTTGCCATCAGTCTCACTGTGGCAGGGAAGAAGCTGTTGATAAATCTCATTTTGTGTGTGATGAAACTGTCTGCTCTGCTGTGTCTGAGGTTGTATTTACATTGTTTGTGTTTGAGCAGAGGGTGAGCTGCGTGGAGAGAGTCTCAAGGCATTTTTAATGTTGCTATAGCATTGGTCCAGTGTTTTGTTTCCTCTGGTGGGAAAAGTAACAGACTGATACAGTTTCGGAATATTTTTCTGGAGGTTACAGTGATTGAAATCTCCAAGAATGATGAAAGCAGCATCAGGGTACGAGTTTTCACGCTCATTGATCGAGTTGTGCAGCTCTGGGACTGGTAGCTGGAGAGGGACACGCTGGAGCTAACTTGTAATTCACCTTTAGTAAAGGCATGGGTTGCAAGCTTGTTTTAATTTAATGTTTTAATGTCTAAATATTAACATTTGCAAGGCGAATGTGCAGTACATTGTTAATACTTTTTATGCCATCACCCAGATACTAACGCTAACAGAGCAGAACAACGATCAGCAGTAATGTTAACAAACAAGACCAGTTGACCAACACACGCTCACTTTTTTAGTCTTATACTTCAACTGTTTTTTGATAAACTGCAACTCTCTTGTCTTGTAAAATTACGTTATAAATTGGCAAACATCATGTGTAATAATTCCTGCCACAATTCGAACTGTTTCAAAAAATTATTTATCTCTTGCCATTGACTACAATAGTGACGTCCGATGGTGGTCCACCAGAGGGGGGAGGATTTCCCTCTCTATTGTTGAACATGCATTTATATCTTGGCTAAAGCATTTCAGTACAGACGTGTTCTGTTTTTGCAGTGACATACAAATAAACTGTCACCTGGTAAAGATACAGTGGAATACCTCTTAACAGATGTACTAGAACAAGTAACAGAGCGACAAAATACATTCTGCAAAACACCAAAAATGATGCTTGTTTTGCACATTTCTTTATATTGTAATTTTTTATTTGCTTTTATGCTTTATATTTGTGTATTTTTATTTATTTTGTGTCTCAATATATGCATTAAACATGCTGTAATTCATATATTTGAACCCTTTTTATTCACATGTTTCTATTTTGTATTTGTTTTGTTCTTAGAGTTGCTAATGAGACGTAACAAATAGAAGAAGGAGACTAATTGCACCACAGCTACTGAGAGGAATCGGGACATTGGTCAAGTTTCATTGAATCAGATTCAGTGTAAATTTGAGTCTAACTTACAGAAAATAAAATGAGATTATTTAGTTTTCCTCTAAGTAGTTAAAAGTTAAATATTCCAGCCATGTACGCATATTTTTCTGTCACTGCAGGTTTTTTAAAGTGGTGAAGATCCACTTTGCCAGTATTTGGTTACATGAAGAGCATGGAGGCAAACCACACATGCTCTGTGTGATTACCTCTGCTTTTCTCTGGTCCCTCTGGCGGCGTGGGGATGGGGATGGGGTCAAACACGCTACAGTCCTTCCCAGTGTAGTCTGGATCACAGATACACTTCACCTCGTTGCTGCAAGTCTGCGGAGCAAAGAGAACAAACTTTAATGTCTTATCTTGTTTACTTCCCCCTGAGCAGAACTCTGATGTCGTGGGTGGGACCAGACAGCAGCAGCAGCAGACTCACCCCATGGTGCGAGCAGATGCGAGAGGACGAGGAGCCCGGGCAGGTGCTGAGGTTGAAGGTCGTGACAGGGAGGCAGCGACGCTCCAAACACATCATGTTTGGCCCACATGGTGTCCCGTCCTCCACGTAGCCCATATCCAAGCCATCGTCCAGCACTGCATGGCCGCCCCTGCACGTCAGATGATCACATAAAATCATTACTTATTTTATACAGACTGACAGAAGCTGTTGATCATTAGCAGAGGTGTCAGGATCAATTATTCTTCATAGATCGGTGCTGTTTCATAGCCCTTTTTTCAAACTGATTTCATTTTTTTTTTTACCTTTTTTTACTCCATGCTCCTTTAACCTGTATTATTCCTTTTGACCATATTTGTCAACTTTAAAAGGGACAGTTCACCCTAAAAGCAAAAATACATATTTTTCATTTTACCTGTAGTGCTGTTTATCAGTCTAGACTGATTTGGTGTGAGCTGCAGAGTGTTGGAGATATCAGCCGTAGAGATGTCTGCCTTCTCTCCAATATAATGTAACTAGATGGCACTCAGCTTGTGGAGATCAAAGTGCTAAATAAATACATTTGAAAAAATTAACAGCAATGTCTCTTTCCAGAAATCATGACCCCATTACTCAAGATAATCCACAGACCTTGTTGTGAACAGTTTCATGTAGGAACTATTTTCTTTCTGCTGAACTAAACCCGCCAACTATATCACCACTGTTACCTCTCTCTTACCAGCTCAGAACCATAGTTGGGAACACGTTGGCTTATTGGCATTAGTTTAGCTTGGCTCGTTATTAGCTGGTAACTAGCTTCTAGTGACCCAGACCACTTCACTGACGGAGCGTTTTAGGGTGCCATTCACCAACAGTGGCTTTATTGCAGTCATCACCACAAAACAATAAACATGGCCTTCCCATGGAGTTGAACAGCAGCCCTGAGCTTATCTAAACACTTAAATTCTGCTGGCTATGATCACTTGTTGCTGCATGCTGTCTTCACCATGACACACCCGAGAGTGTTGCTTCCCCACCACATACAACAAAACATGTCACACGCTCACAAGTTACCCAGAAGACCACCATGCTTAAAGGGAAAAAAGGTTAAGCCAGTAACACTGCGCAGGAGGAGGTGTGTATCTACTGCTAGCTCAACTAGCATCAATGAGCTAGCTAAGGTTACAGCTCAGCCAAGGGGACGCCATTAATGTTTATATCTCAGGCTGTCACAAGATGCACGCTTCCTTCTGTACTGTGAAACAGTTGGTGTGTGTAATTTGGTAGAAAGAAAATAGTTCCTACATGAAACTTCTCACAACAAGGGCTGTGGATTATCTTGAGTAACCAGCTCATGATTTCTGGAAAGACACATTGCTGTTGAGGTTTTCAAATGTATTTTTTAGCACTTTGAGCACCACAAGCTGAGTGCCATCTAGTTCCATTATACTGGAGAGAAGGCAGACATCTCTATGGCCGATATCTCCAAAACTCTGCAGCTCACACCAAAACAATCTGGACTGATAAACAGCACTACAGGTAAGAGGGGAAATATCTAATTTCAATTTTGGGGTGAACTGTCCCTTTAAGAGTCTATTTTCAGCCTGTCATGATCTGTGCGACTACCAAAACAAAAATGCACCAAAAAACATCCACAAATTCAAATCCTGTTCTGCATGTGGTGAATTCAGGTATGGCTACTGCATTTCTTTAACCCTTTAAATGGTTGTTCAAGGCGACCAAGAAAAGCTGCCTCACTTGCAGTCCAGGTATCTGTTCTGATGGTGGATGGTCAGACTGGTGAGCCTCCCCTGCAGCTCACCAAACCTCGGCTTATCTGTCAGATTGGTGCACAGCAGCAAACCGCACAGGACGTCTCTGACAGAGACCAGAGACAAAACAATTAAATCATATAACAAAAAAAACCCCAAAAACTTCAAACCAAGTTGTATCTTGATTAAAATGTATTAGATGAAGCCATGCTGTTGACTCACTGCTTGTTGCACTGCACCCATCCCTGACCGCTGGAGTCTGGGCCACAGTTTCCTTTCTCTGTGCCCTCAGAGTTCAGCTTCTCATAGCAGAACCTGTCGGCTGAGTCTGAGAAGAAAGAGCAGAGTCTTTCACTTTATGCACCTCGACTCAACCATCAGTGGGCCGTGTGACATGAAGAAATAACACCCAACATCCAATCCAAACCTACTGTAGCCCCACAGCGTCCTGCACTGGCCATCTCTGGTCTTACAGCGGCCTCCGTAACAGCGACCCTGAGGACAGGAAAAGGACAGACAAAGAGATATATATGTTTAATTAAATGTAACAAATTAAATCTAGTTATTCAATTAAATAGCATGATTGTACCTGTCCTGCATTACACATGTAGCCATCCAGTTTGTGGACGTTATGAGGACACTGCAAGAAAGAGAGCATCATCTTTCTGTTCAGAAATCTGAATCCTTTCACCATCTTGATAAATCTGCAGATGTGTCGGGGCCTGTTTTACCTGGCTGGTGTCTCCCATGCAGGTCTCAGGGATGTCGCAGTCGTTAACGGCTTCACGGCACGTCACCCCCCTCAGCTCGTACTGTCACAAACAACCACAGAAGAAGACGGAGGGGGAAAAAAGACGTGGGGAATGGAACAGAGGCAAGTGACAGAATAAAGAGTCAATCAGAGCCTGAAGAAACAATTTGGTTAAAGTGATGTGTAAAAGCAGCTCACCTTGCAGTCCCTGCAGCAGAGCCCATTGCTGCACATGGCATTGTGGGTAAGGGTGCACTTCTTGCAGCAGTTGGCTCCACTCCGTGCACACTCCTGTGGGTCAGAGAGGGTTTAAAGCTCAGCTGTAGATGATGAGTGTTTGGGTGTTTTGAACTTATGTAATGGACAGGAATTACAACACAACTACAGTCTGACTGTACTGTGCACTGCCAATTTACGTCCACTTTAAGTGTTTGTTTTTGCCACTGACAGGCTCAGATTGTGATTATAAGTGTCTGACAACATAATAAAAAGGACCCTACAGAGAAAAGTAATGTTCTTTATACTGCAGCCTGTTCTATTTTGTTCTGAAAATGTCGGTGTGCAGCCTCGTTCTGTGGACGATAAACAAGATGCAGACTTCCATCTGTGTCACCGGTGATGAGGAAATACAGTGAGTGACAACAACCGCGCCCACATGAAAGAGTACAGATTGCTGTGGAAACTTTTGTTCCAAAGGTACTATACTGCAAGTGTTTGGTGGAAACAGGGCTTTTGACACAAAAACCTGGGGAAATAGGGTCCAGGTTGAAAAATACAGACGTTTCCCTTTAAACCTGAATGAGTGATGAATTCAAATCAGTCCCTACAGTATCTGCGTTTACGACAAGCATTTAGAAATAAGTTAATTCATTAAAGCTCACCACTAGCGATCCACAGTCACACTCCTCTCCCAGCTCCACATATCCGTTCCCACACTCTGGTGGGTCCAACAACTACAGGGACACAAAGAAAACATGAGGAGTCAAACAATATATCACCAGAATGGACAATGAAAGTAAATTCAAACCAATAAAAAAATCTACATTCACACACAGACGATACCTCTGTGTTACTGTGGACATTATGACAATTTGCTCTTTGAAATACTTGGCAGGTGTGTGTCCAAAACTGAAACTGTTCTACTTGTGTGAAACAGGTCATTAAAAGTAAGTAGATTTGCTTTTTGCAGGTCAAGGGTTAAGAGAGACCATCTCTCACCTTGTTGGGCTTGTTGAAGAGGCAGCTGCCTCCTCCCTGCTGGAGGAAGCGCAGGTACTCGTCTATACTGCAGCGAGAGAACTTCCTGGGCAGGTAGTAACTAAATGATACAAAAAAAATACAGCAATCAACAATTGCACTATTTCTTAAAGGGACGGCTCACCCTGAAATCTAAAATACATAGATTTCCTCTAACCTGTAGTGCTGTTTATCATCTAGATTGTTTGGGTGTGAGCTGCAGAGTGTTGGAGACATCGGCTGTAGAGATGTCTGCCTTCTCTCCAATATAATGGAACTAGATAGTGTGGTTAGAAAAAAATCTCCTACATGAAACTGCTCACAACAAAGTCTGTGGAGTAACTGGATCATGATTTCTGGAAAGAGACATTGCTGTGTAGCGCTTTGAGCACCACAAGCCGAGTGCCATCTAGTTCCATTATATTGGAGAGAAGGCAGACATCTCTACAGCCGATGTCTCCAACACTCTGCAACTCACACCAGAACAATCTAGACTGATAAACAGCACCACAGGTAAGAGGAAAAATGTGCATTTATGATTTTGGGGTGAACTATCCCTTTAAAACCTTCAAAAGTCAGATTTACATACAGTACAGGCCAAAAGTTTGGACACACCTTCTCATTCAATGCGTTTTCTTTATTTTCATGACTATTTACATTGTAGATTCTCACTGAAGGCATCAAAACTATGAATGAACACATGTGGAGTTATGTACTTAACAAAAAAAGGTGAAATAACTGAAAACATGTTTTATATTCTAGTTTCTTCAAAATAGCCACCCTTTGCTCTGATTACTGCTTTGCACACTCTTGGCATTCTCTCCATGAGCTTCAAGAGGTAGTCACCTGAAATGGTTTTCCAACAGTCTTGAAGGAGTTCCCAGAGGTGTTTAGCGCTTGTTGGCCCCTTTGCCTTCACTCTGCGGTCCAGCTCACCCCAAACCATCTGGATTGGGTTCAGGTCCGGTGACTGTGGAGGCCAGGTCATCTGCCGCAGCACTCCATCACTCTCCTTCTTGGTCAAATAGCCCTTATACAGCCTGGAGGTGTGTTTGGGGTCATTGTCCTGTTGAAAAATAAATGATCGTCCAACTAAACGCAAACTGGATGGGATGGCATGTCGCTGCAGGATGCTGTGGTAGCCATGCTGGTTCAGTGTGCCTTCAATTTTGAATAAATCCCCAACAGTGTCACCAGCAAAACACCCCCACACCATCACACCTCCTCCTCCATGCTTCACAGTGGGAACCAGGCATGTGGAATCCATCCGTTCACCTTTTCTGCGTCTCACAAAGACACGGCGGTTGGAACCAAAGATCTCAAATTTGGACTCATCAGACCAAAGCACAGATTTCCACTGGTCTAATGTCCATTCCTTGTGTTTCTTGGCCCAAACAAATCTCTTCTGCTTGTTGCCTCTCCTTAGCAGTGGTTTCCTAGCAGCTATTTGACCATGAAGGCCTGATTCGCGCAGTCTCCTCTTAACAGTTGTTCTAGAGATGGGTCTGCTGCTAGAACTCTGTGTGGCATTCATCTGGTCTCTGATCTGAGCTGCTGTTAACTTGCCATTTCTGAGGCTGGTGACTCGGATGAACTTATCCTCAGAAGCAGAGGTGACTCTTGGTCTTCCTTTCCTGGGTCGGTCCTCATGTGTGCCAGTTTTGTTGTAGCGCTTGATGGTTTTTGCGACTCCACTTGGGGACACATTTAAAGTTTTTGCAATTTTCCGGACTGACTGACCTTCATTTCTTAAAGTAATGATGGCCACTGGTTTTTCTTTAGTTAGCTGATTGGTTCTTGCCATAATATGAATTTTAACAGTTGTCCAATAGGGCTGTCGGCTGTGTATTAACCTGACTTCTGCACAACACAACTGATGGTCCCAACCCCATTGATAAAGCAAGAAATTCCACTAATTAACCCTGATAAGGCACACCTGTGAAGTGGAAACCATTTCAGGTGACTACCTCTTGAAGCTCATCGAGAGAATGCCAAGAGTGTGCAAAGCAGTAATCAGAGCAAAGGGTGGCTATTTTGAAGAAACTAGAATATAAAACATGTTTTCAGTTATTTCACCTTTTTTTGTTAAGTACATAACTCCACATGTGTTCATTCATAGTTTTGATGCCTTCAGTGAGAATCTACAATATAAATAGTCATGAAAATAAAGAAAACGCATTGAATGAGAAGGTGTGTCCAAACTTTTGGCCTGTACTGTATGATAGCCTGTCGACTAAAATGTTAACATTTTGCCCTCATAAGAATGAAGTTGGGCTCTTTCACAAGCTACATTTTTAAAGTACGTTACACATGTTTTATTTGAGAATTGTTCTTAATGAACTACATGTCACTGATTAATTTTTAGTAAATTTAAAACAAGCATACCCTGTGTCCTCCATGATGCAGCCCAGCCATGGGTCTGGACACCGGCAGTCTTCTGGGCATAAACAAAATATTACTGTGGTCACGACAGGTCACTACTGCACACAGCAAAACATTTTGGAGCCAGTTGGTGACCACTTGAGGGAGCTGTTAGTACAGCAGAGGAGGAGGCTTTTCTCTTTGAGTTTGGTAAGGCCATTTGTAAAAGACAGATTTTAGATACTTGCAATTTGCAGATACATTGCTGAAATAACCAAATATTACAGTCACCTGCAGCCAGTCGCTCTTTGTTCCTCAGCATGCCGATGTTCTGGCCCAGGCTCTGACTCAGAGTGATGGCCATGGGGCCCACGCTGCCAAACTGAAGACACAGATAAATCAAGTTTACAGCAACAACCAGAAGGAAGAGTGAGTGAAGAGTACGATTCATTACTTCTATAAATACACCGTTTTTATGAAGCTCACTGGACAGACACCAGGATTTACATCCAGTCTCTGTGATGTGGACAGTGTGAGGACACAAGTCTCACCTCGTTGATGCCTCCACCCCGAGTGATGGAGCAGATTCCCCCGATGTAGGCCGCCTCACTGCGGCTGCTCATGAACGTCCTCCCACTGTAGTGAAGACAGGGAGACTGCTGTATTAATAGGCACAGGAGGAGGAAGAGAAGGAGATGAAGGTGGTGGATAAGGAAGAGGAAGAGGAAGAGGAGGAGGAGGAGGAGGAGGAGGAGGAGAAGAAGAAGTAGAAGGAAGATGTGCACAAGAAGACAACGGTGGTGTATGAGGAGGAGGAGATGAAGAAAGGAGGAGGAGCAGGAGACAGAAAAAAGAGAGGAATATATAAAGGAACAAGATGGGCAAAAAGACAAAGAAGAAGATAGGGAGGAAGAAAGGGGAGGTGGTGGAGGATAAGAAGGAAGAGGAGAGGAAGAACACAAAAGAAGACGGCAAATAAGGAGACAGAAGAGAAGAAGAAAATGAAGTAGAAGAAGAAAAAGAAGCAGAGGAAGAAGGAGGAAGAGGTTCAGGATGAGAGAGAAGGAGGAGAGAGAGAGAAGGAGGAGAGGGAGAAGAAGACAAAGGTGGTGGTGGAGGAGGAGGAGGAGGAGGAGGAGGAGGAGGAGGAGGAGGAGACAGAAGGAAATGGAAAAGAACAAGATGGGGAAGAAGACAAAGAACATGAGGAGAATGAAGATGGAGGTGGTGGTGGAGGAGGAAGAGGAAAAGATGAAGACAGAGAAGAAGAAAAAGAAGGCAGTGAAGAAGAAGACAAAGAAGAGGAAGGAGGAGCAAGAGGTACAGGAGGAAGAAGAGAATGAGGAGAAACATAAGATAAATATTATGGAGGAAGAGGTAAAGCCAAAGAAGAGAAGAAGAAGATGATGGAGAGGAAGACAAAGGTGGTGGTGGTGGGGGCGGAAGAGGAGAAGAAAAAGGAAAAGAACAAGACATGGAAGAAGATGAAGACGATGGGACAGAGGAAGATGGAAAGGTAGAGGAGGCAGAGAAGAAGAAAGAAGAAGATGACAGATAAGACAGAGAAGAGAAGAAGAAGAAGAAGGTGGTGGTGGAGGAGGAGGAGACGGAAAAGGAAAAGAACAAGACATGAAAGAAGACGAAGAAGAAGATGGGAAAGAAGAAGACAGAGGTGGTGGAGAAGGAAGAGGAGAAGAAAAAGACAACAGACAAGAAAACAGAAGAGAAGAGAAGAGAAGAGAAGAGAAGAAGAAAAAGAAGGTAGTGAAGGAGAAGAGGGAAAAGGTGGTGGTGGTGGAGGAGACAGAAAAGAACACGACGTGAAAGAAGAGGAAGAAAAAGATGAGGAGGAGGAAGAAGATGGAGGTGGTGGTGAGGGAGAAGGAAGAGGAGAAAAACAGAGAGAAAGAAGATGAAGAAGAAGAAGAAGGAGGACAACAAAAACAACAGCACCAACTAAAATCAGGACGTTGAACCCACGAGAAGAGGTGAACAGCGTCGCAGCGCTGCTTGATGCTCTCCTTCCTGTACTTCATGAAGTCACGCAGGGTGAGCAAAGCGTCGTCACCCACAGAGACCTTGTTTTCAGAGGACCAGGTTTCCATGGCCACCAGGACGATGCGGGTGTTGAGCTGCTCCTTGTAGATCTGGAAACAACGGCAGATCAATGAAAATGAAAATCAGAGAAGTCTGAATGTCTTCTTGGACAAAACAGCCATAAAATTGAAAACAAATTTAGGGACAACATTGCAAAGAGACTTATCCAACAGTACATATAAAAATAATAACAAACTACAAAAAAAAAAGTTAAATGTTAGTGGGAAAAATTCAGATCTTAATGGGTTGAATGAGTCATGTTGAGTATTCCTCTAAAGTCTAAGGGGGCGCTGTAGCAAAGGGCTAACCTTTGATAATGTGAAATAATGACAAAGAAAACTGCATCCTTTTAGAGGAACGTGAGGTTTTAAAGGAGAGGAGGAGAGAGCTGAATCTTTGGATCATAGATTTGTTCTGAGTGACTCCAGCGGCAGGTCTGACATTCACTCCCTGATACAATGTTTAAAAGTGTACGAATACTGCAGATAATGGAGACAGTCGTATCTGTCTACTTTAGACATGGAGTGGGTGAAGGCAGGCAGCAGTCGGTTGCCATGGAAACCAACATCGCTGTGTTTGTCCCCAGTCAGTGAAGGGTTTCCCGCACTGATGCTACAGCAGAGACGGCTCCACTTATCACCGTACTGTATTCCAGCACAGACTGTTCATCTGAGACACTGGGAATGTGGTCTGTCCCCAGTTGTCTCATCAGCTATGGGAAATAAATTCAAGAGATAGTTCAGATTTTTTTTTGAAGTGGGTTGTATGAGGTACTTGTCTATATTCAGTGTACTACATTAAGTAGATGGCGGTCTGCACGCTCCCAGTTTGGAGAGGCAGGCAGGAATACTTCTGTGTTCTGCAAGGTAAAATTACCAGCCCTTTTTACACAGAAAGGGCGCTATATGGCCGCTATAAAAAGTCCCTTCTTAATGTCTCCTTTGCATTTTCACACAGAACCAAACAACAGCAGCATCATTCCGCTCCAGTGTGTGATTATACACTGCATCACAGCTTTGCAGAATGAAAAGAGGTGTGATATGTAACACAACAGTGTCGCCATCCAGTGTGCCATACTACATACATGGTAAGGAGCTCCTGAATGTCATTGTTTTCCCAATTTGCGGGCATTTATGGCCACTGTTCTTCTTCGAGTTAGCTGCTAACTGCAAACAGCTACTTTTAAAATCTCCCACGGTGGGTCATGCACTTAACATGTCATCAAAACATCACACCCGTGTTGCCCATGATCCCGTCTTGCAGGCTGTCTGTTTGTCTTGTTAGCGCTTTTCTAGTCTTCTGACCACTCGAAGCGCTTTTATACTACGAGTCACATCCGCTCATCCACACACAGTCACACACTGGTGGCCAAGGCTACCATACAAGGTGCCACCTGCTACTCAGTAACCATTCACACACACACACACACACACACACACACACACACACACACACACACTGATGGAACAGCCATTGTAAGCAATTTGGGGTTCAGTATCTTGCCCAAAGATACTTTGACATGCGGGCTGGAGGAGTCAGGGATCAAACCGCCAATTAGTGGACCACCTGCTCTTCCTCCTGAGCTACAGCTGCCCCAAAAGCGAGACCACTCTGTCCCCCCTTTCCACGATCGTACCCTATATACAGAACAGCAAGGCAGCGTAACAACGTGATATTCCTGTCTTGAACAAGGCAGTGTAAAAGGGGCTACTGGTGGAGTCTGGTGGCTTTGAAGCAAGCATAGAAAATGGCTTCAGCTCCTCTGTCAGAAAGGGCTGTCTAATGGCAATGTAAAGCCTTAACAATATTCCAAATATTGCGTACACTTAAACTGACATTTATATATTTTAGGTGGCTAAAATACATCTTGCTGCCGACCCCATCCACAGCAATACATTGCTCAGCTTCTGCACTGGTACTGCCTGCCTCTCTAAAATGGGAGCGTGCCGACCGCCATCTACTGTAGGTAATACACTACTATAAATAAGTACCTCGTACATTCCCACTTTAGTAAAAAATTCAGAAGTATCCCTTTAAGATAGAGTTGTTGGACATGTGCAATAATTTTAAATACAAGATCAGTACTTAATTGGTATCTACCTCTGTCCTTAGTTAAGAGGTTTTCAAAATCATCTCTCATATGTAATTCTTTCTACTGTTTTGCATGAATTCTTACTTTCCACAAAAACAATAAACCTAATATAGATATGTAATGACAGCAGCACCTAAGTTCAACAAGGCAATGGGTGTAGACATAATATACTGCATAACCTAGCAGTTATGGCACAATATCTACATTCTAGACCGTCCACCTTTGCAGCCAAGTTTCCCTTCAAATTCCTTTAATTTTTATCAATTCATATGAGCAAATTTCTTAACAATCAACACAAACTGTAAGGTCTACTAGATCAGGTGCTCCTAAGGTAGGAGCCATAGCAACAAAGAGTGCTACAAGAATGGACCAATGATGCTGCAAATTTTTTCTTTTTGTACACAACATATTTTGTTCATTTTGATGAGTCAACAAGAAATAACCATTAAAATCATTCATAACAAAAGACCCTGTTAAATGAAGAGGAATAAAGTGATGGTAGCAAATGTTTGGCATGTTTACGATGGTTAAAAATAAAATCAGACACATTAAGTTTGTTGGCTTTCTGTGAATAAGGGATGGCAGCTGTCCCACTCAGGAAAGTTTCATCCGCAGGAAAAAAGCTCTGAAATATGGCAACTGTCCTGAGTAAGCTCAAGAGACTCCCAACAATAGACTGTCTATGAAACTGTGCCATGGCTAGAAGAAAAGGAAAAAGACGACAGGAAGAGGAAGCTCATATTTAAAAACAGCAACAATATGTTTTTCACTCACCGCGTCGGCCATGTTCACCACCGCTTTGGCAAAGTTCTTGGTCTGAGTGGACGAGCGACGGAGCTGCACAAACTGACGAGAGGAGATAAACACATTTTGCATTTAGGGTTGCTACACACTTTCAGCAAATGTAATGCTTTTAAAGACCTTGACACAGCAAATTTAATTCTCTTCAAAGCAAAAAAATTGCACATTAGGGCTGAGCTTAAGTTTAAAATCAACTTCGGATATTAGAGTCCAAATTTTAAAGTTCAGAATTTGCACTGAAAATGAATATAGGCAGGGGATTACAATACAGGCTAATGAATGATGTCGTTGTCCACAGGTTTTCAATTTAATACTTTTCAAGGATCCTCTGTTTCTGCCTTTATCTTTCTCCTGTGCTCATTATAAAGTCTTATCAGCTGATTAAAATCCCCATTTTAATGAGAGTCACGCTTACGTCTTATTATGCAGCAATTACGGAGATAAAGTAGAAGAGGCTTCACACCCACCAGCTCATGGTCGTTGACCACCATCAGCTCGATGTACTTGGTCTCAGTCTGGACGGTGCGCTGGCCTCGCCGCACCTGGAGGGGGCGAGAGATCAACACAGCCAGACGTTTGAGTCCGCTGTCATAATCACCTTCACACAGGACAAACACACACACATAAAGACAACAGGCACGCACACACAAACTCAGCAGGTGAAGCCATTACTCATACAGAGTGCACACACGCACACAAACACACACACACACACACACACACACGTAGATATGCTGATGCTGGTGAAACTCTACTCTTTGTCCTTGAGATGGAAACTTAGAGAACAACAATCATTCTTTCATTGAGCAGAAAATCGTTCTGCATCTGAAAAGATATCGCAGCTTCTGTATCTGATTACAACTGGAGTCTAACAAGAACAAAACAACTTTTAAAGGGCATAAAAACTTTAAATCTTTTTCTTGCTAACATTAAAGATTCATAACTAAATAAGCAATTTCCAGAGTTTACAAAAAATATATAGGTTAGGTATTATTTGATAACATTTTGACACTGTGCAACAATAGTTTCATCAGATTTAAAGATGGGGTAGGCAGCTTCAGTCTGGGCAATTTTTTTTGTAATTCAAGTGGACTGAGGGAAAACAAAGACTTCTGCACTTCCTCTTGGCTCTGATTTCAGGCTTTAAAAACAACCTAGGCAGTGTCGTGAGACTTTGGCTAATTGACCCTTTTTTTAAATCCCGCCCCCATACGCAGACTGGCCAATCATAACGTAGCATCAAGCCGGCTCAGACCAGGGTCCGACAACAACACAGCTGTGCTCCATTGACTCTAATGCAGTCGTTTCAGATTTCCTTCATTTTCAGGCTGGTTTTGTGGATTTGGAGCTAAATGTTGTGCCTGGGGCACGTCGTGTATTAATGATACTCGTTACCTGGAGAGGTTGGAAAAAGATATACGTTTCTTCCCTGTTCCAAAACCAAAATCAAACCCTGAAAAGTGTAGGGTTAGCTAGCTAGCTACTGAAGATATAGCCTACTGAATGTATACACATGCTGCTTTTGCTTTTTAATGATTATAACAGTGAAACAAAGACCGACCCTGCTGTACAGGAACCAGTGAAGGGAAGCAGGGAAACTTTGCTGATATTCAACCAGCTGTGTGTCATCGCAGTGTGTGCAGATGTTTATTAATTGGCTTCCACCGGACTCACACATTCTCACTCCAGCCTCATCACATTCTGAGTGAGACCGGGCGCCCCATAGATCCCTGCCCATCCAGCAGCGGAGGTCCAGGTGCTGGCAGCAGCACGGGGGTGAAGCCAAACACCGTTCATCTGCACACACTGTGATGCCACACAGCTGGTTCAATATCAGCAAAGTTTCCCTTTATATTCATTGTCTTGTGTGGCGATCAGCAGTGATGTGGTGGTTCACTTTTACACTGTGATCTGTAGCCTATAGTTCGGCTTTAGCTTCTAACTATCTTTGTCTTTTTAACCTGTTGTTGCTGCTGAGTCAGTTTGACATCCTGGATATATCCTTCAAACACAGACTGTAGACCCCTCTGTCTGCTTCTCTCTGGAATCACTGTTTCATTTGTCCAAAAATATGATCATATTTCTTCAGGGAGTGCAGTTAGTTACAGTGTGGGCTCCATGTTTACGCCAACAGCTTGTTGGACAAAGAGATGGGGCTTAGGAAAAAGGTCAATTACAGACCATTTGACAGAAAAGGCGTTCCTATTGGCTGTTCTACGAACGCAACTTTAGTGAAACCCTGATTCAACAGCAGAGAATCCTGCAGAGAAAGTTGTTACTCCAGCACTGACAGCAACTTCCTTCAACCTGTCTCCCTGACACTTGTGACATGTTCCTGACAGACTCTGAAAACTGACTTGTCTTTTTGAGCGTCTCAGGCCTGATGTGAAGACGGGCTTCTCCTCTTCAGACCAGTCGTCTCCATCCCTCAGCTCACCGTCTCCTTCAACGTGGCCGTGTGTCTGCTCCTCAGGCTCTGTGCCGTTCACGGAGCATCCTGGGAAACACACACACATGCACAGAGTTAGTGAGAGCGAGATAGAAAAGTGGCTAGTCATCAGTCCGTGGATGAATGTATTTTAGTCCGCTGATCTGCAGGAGAAATCAATATCACAAAGCCAGTAGAGGAGAGAGGAGGAAAGGGGAGAGTGTAACTGGCCAAATGGGGAAGGGAGGGGAGAGGGGTGAGGAGGGAGGAAGGGTGGAAGGGAGGAAGAGCAGGGGTTGGGTAACAGGAAGGGGGTGAATCCAGAGAGGCAGAAGAGTGTCAGGGACAAAGAGGAGAGGCGGAGAGTAGGCAGCCAAATGAGACGTTTAACAAGGGCGAGGAGGGCAGCCGGACAACCTGAGGAGGGCACTGTGCACTGCAGTGTATGTTTGTGTGTAAAAAAGAAACCAAAATCAGTCTTGCATTACAGAACATTTGCTTTAAGCTATTCAGAGTCAAGGACAAGGCTGAACACGTCATCTCCAAACAAGTGACATCAAGCAGCATTTGGGCTTATTAGCAACAAGCTGCATCCTACCAGGTTTCATCAAAGTCTAATCTTCTTACAACTAAACACGACACAAATATGTATCACACCACAAAGATTCATCAAAATCAAGTCGGTTTAAGACGTCACAAAAGTAAACAATTTGTATTATAGCTGGATTCGTACAGCAGGTGTGTCACTGAGGATTTAGAAATTAAATGGCAAACAAGAGACAGGGATTTTGTACCTATCAAACTATCATCATCTCATGTAACTACGAGGAGTCTCAGTGTGGAGTGTCACTGTGAGCCTGATGGTGGTCCTACCTGGACAGGGAGGTGGGAAGAGGTCAATGTCCGGCATACGATACACAATGTGGTCGCCCTGCTCCTGAAGGACGATCCGGAAAACAAAACAAAGTGACAGAGAGCAAGACAGAGAGAGAGGAATTAGTTCGTCCTTTCTATCTGCTGCTGAAACAATCTGAAAGTTTTACATTAGAACTTCTTTCCCAGGGTCTTATTTATAAAGCAGTGTGTAGGATCAACATAAAAAAAATGTACGTAGGTCCAAAAATGGCATGTGCCAAAAAATTTCTACAATCCACCTTCCCAACCGCGTCGCCAATTTCCCATCTCCAGAATGTTTGTAAGCATAGGTTAAAGTTTTTCCCATCAAGTCTGTCTTTATAGATCACAACTTTTCCATGAGAAGCGGCATCACCTCTTTCAGGCCTGATGAGACCCCTGAGCCGCTTGTTTTAAAATGATGACTCAGTTCAATTTTAATTCCCTGATTCTTCTTCATATCTTTCTGATTTCTGAGGATTTTAACTATTAAAGGTGTGTAGGATTCAGGGTCTTCGATTGGCAGAAATGGTGTAAAGTATTTACTATAACTATGTTTTCATCAGTTTCTAATCACCTGAACAAGAATTGTGGTGTGTTCATTACTTTAGTCCAGACACGTCCAAAGTCCATCCCGGGGCTAATTGTGGCCTGTGGACAGATTTTAAATGGCCCATTGCTTGTCCTTTAAAATACATTAAATGTGGCCTACCACATAATAGTGATTAGTCAAGCATGATCGCTTGGCAGGACTTTCACTAGCCTGGTGTAGCTACACATTTTGACAGATAAAGGCCTGTCTCAATTAGAGGCCTGGTCTGGTTGTCAAGCTGTTTCCTTTTTTCATAGACGTTCTTCGGATGTATCAAACCAGGATTGTTTGCTACCTCAAATGATGTGTCCATTTCTCCATTACTCTGTAAATTATTCAAATTCTTTTAATCTGTAAGGGTCCTCAGATCAAAGGATTATATTGTAAAAATGAATCCAAGTTGTGAGTATTGTTTTAACAGGATAAAGTGGTGCGTCAGTATGCTGGGTGCTGTAATCCTCGAGAGCCCTAACTCTCTCTGATGTGCTGTTTATCGGAGCTAGATCAAATGAATGATTCATAATTGATATATTATCCGAAGTCTAATTCTTATACAATTAATATTCATACTGTTTCAAATAAACAATTTGATTGTATTGCCGATGTTTGCTGCAAAATGGTTTTGTGTGAAAGAAAATAAAGGCCTGTCCCAAATAAAGGCCTGTCCCAAATAAAGGCCCGCTGAGTTCAGTGATTTAAGCAAATAACAAATGCCGATAGAGCAGAAGAGCCAGATTATATTGTTCACTTTTACAGAGAAGTGAAAACAGGAATAATTAAGTGTCAGGGAGGATGGAAAAATATCTAAAGCCTGTTTGCATATTTTTTCTGTGGTCATATTTTATGAAAGAAAACTTCATTTTGGTTAGGTGTGGTTGTTGGCCGTTGCAGGAATAAGAAATGAGTGGTGAAAAAGTTTTGCTTAAGTATAAAAATTCAAGTCTCGGGACAAAAAAAAAAACGCTGCAGGCAGCAGCAGATGGGGGATCAGGGCAGACACAAATCCGACACTGGCCTTTGACGCTGAACCAGGCTTTGATCAGCAGAAGCGAAACTGCAGAGCTCTTTCCTGTAAAAGAGCTTGAGTATGTAGACCTGCACAAATTGAGGTTTTACCACCACACAAGCCTTGAAATGACTCCTTCTCATCCTGAGTGTCAGCTCACAGCTGCTCTGTGTGAGAGAACGCTGCTGCTGTGTCCTCTGGAGCAGCAGGGATGGATCAACGGGAAGGAAAGTGCTCTGATGCATAATTAATCAATCACTGAGCTGTCATAATGGCAATAACACTACTGGACACTGTGGTACACTTGAGCTGGGGATAAATACTTTATGAAAATGATCCATCTGAGATAGAGAGCTGAGGAGAGGGAGAGAGAGAGTGAGAGAGTTTGAAGATGAGCTGGGAGGCTATTGATCCATCTCTCCAGTCTATGTAATTGAGCTGTACTTCGATTACTGGGGGCCTTAATGGAAAAAAGCTCAGCCTCTTCCACTCTAAACACTTTCTCCCCGCTCCCTTCCATCACTCTGTTATACATCTATTTCTTCTTAATACTAGATCTATGCTAAAATCAAATCTGAGCATTTCTGAAACATCTAAAAAGCCTCTTGTTTTTGTCGATGATTTGCAGTTTCTCCTCTGTGAGATGATGTCTCCCTCAGATATGAGACAGGAGATGTGTTTCAGTGCTGGTGGATTGTGTATCAACTCAATACTTTCCATACAGCAGCTCAGAGATAGAGTAACACCGTCTGGACTGACGGTAAGTCACGGAGAGTGAAAGTGAGACTGTTTGAGACTTTTAACCATATTTCGTTAAGTCTGAAAGATTTTTGGGAGATTCCTCTTTCCACACAACCTTGTTGGTTGCCAAGACATCTGATATGTGTGTGTTTACTACTAATTGGACTGGTTGATCGTGCCCACTGGGTTTATCCTCCTAAAGTCGTGACTCACCTCTCCAGTGTCGACTGGCTCAATCCCGTACGAGAAGTTCCCGTCAGAAAACATCCCCCTGAAAAACACAGCAGCAGGTTACAGCACATCTGGGCATGTTTGTGTCAGTCTGTGGTGTCTAAATTTTAAAAACCTTGCTGCAGGATATATGTTTTAAAGGAACAGATTGATATTTTGGAAAGTATTTGATTCACTTTCTTGTTGTGAGTCAGATGACAAGATTGATACCACTGTCATGTTGGTACGGTGAATATGAAGCTGCAGCAGCTGGTTAGCTTAGCTTAGCACAAAGACTGGAGACAGAGGGAAACAGCTAGCTGGCACTAATTAACACATCTTATTTGTTTAATTCCTTCAAAGTGTAAAAACAAGCTATATGGGTTTTTGAATGGATTAATATACCAGACATTAGGGCTGTCAGGTTAATTCCCAGGGCTGGTACCTGCGGTTATTCCACAGGCTAGTTAATAACATGTCGGGCAGGAAATCCAAAGTGTGGGATCATTTTGAGAAGGTGAAGGACGAACCCAAGGTGATATGTAAACTCATCTTCATTGGTCGACTACAAACATGACGTATCATCTGCAACATGTCAGTAGCTACATGCCCATTAGCCACTTAGCACAATCATTACTGCTTTGCCGACAGCGTCATTAACAGGCGGCTCGCTCAGTGTGTGACGTGCACTTGTAGATAAAATATAGACCTATATTAATGAAGGTTCATTAGTACGGTTTTGTATTTCTCTGTAATGTAGCACAGTGTTAACAATGTTACTGATACTATTCTTTCTCACACCTTCAACTCAAACCATTGTGTTGCCCCTGCCCATAGTTAATTAAATTAATATTGTAAACATTTGTCAATTTTCTCCTTGATGGCTTTTTAGAAAATTGACACAGAGCTCCTGAATGTGCTTTGTGCAAATTTACTTTGAACATTTGAATCTCATAAATTCATCAAACTTTGGGTCCTGACTCAGTCTAGATTTCAGCACTGGACTCACCGCAGGCCGTGGCAGGTGGACAGAGCGGCCCAGGAGCCCGGCAGACCCCGCACATGCCCATGGTAGTAGCAGTGCTCTCCTCCCTGGAAACAAACCACAGATTACAGTGAGACACTGAACCCTCGATTATCCAGTGACACGTTCATGTCAAATTTCAGAAAATGAAACCAACGCTGACTGTGAAGCTCTGACTTTTGCAGATCTCCTGGCCCCTGCATACAATGAGGGCAGGTATTTACTGTCAGCCTGGGGCCTACAGCCGACCTGGTGGGTTGACTGAAGGATATCAGTGACTACTGTACGACTCAGTGTCCGGGAAAACCTACACCTACAGAGGCTGCAGCTGAGTTGAGTTTCAACATAGGGAAAGCTGCGTGTGTACAATGTGTGTGTGTTTGAGTGATGGAGGAAGCAATTAAAGTGCGGAAGGACAGGGGTCAAATGGGAGTGGGTCTGGTTTCAATGTAAAGTGCGAGTAAACATGTAGGTTTCTTCTTCAAACAACAGTTTTAATAAGAACGGCAGTTCTGTGCAGTCATTGACCTCGACTTATGAGTATGAGACCTCGCAGTTTGGACCTAATGAGTGAATTTGGCAACAAACCAGTTTTCTGCAACACAAAAAAAAAATTATCACAGTCGGAAAATAACCCATCTTATGATTACAGAGTGTGTACTGACCTGACACTGTAGCTCACAGAATGACTGTGCCTCTCACTTATACAGAAACCGGACCATAATGTGTTTTTACGGATGCTAATGTGTTTGCAAATCAGAAAACAAAAATCTCAAAACCTTAATTAATTACAGTAACATGTGTAGATTAACTGTACATTGGTTTGTTGTAAATATTCTGTCACTAACAGCTGGTCTCAGTTGAACATAATGTTGCCAGTAGCAACCACTACTGAAAAAGTTCCATATTAGTTACAGTTCTGTTGCTCGTAGCAACCACTACTGACAAAGTTCCATATTAGTTACAGTTCTGTTGCTCGTAGCAACCACTATTGACAAAGTTCCATATTAGTTACAGTTCTGTTGCTCGTAGCAACCACTACTGACAAAGTTCCATATTAGTTACAGTTCTGTTGCTAGAAGCAACAACTACTGACAAAATTCTAGTTCCATATTAGTTACAGTTCTGTTGCTTGTAGCAACCACTACTGACAAAGTTCCATATTAGTTACAGTTCTGTTGCTAGTAGCAACCACTACTGACAAAGTTCCATATTAGTTAAAGTTCTGTTGCTAGAAGCGACAACTACTGACAAAGCTCCATATTAGTTACAGTTCTGTTGCTCGTAGCAACCACTACTGACAAAGTTCCATATTAGTTACAGTTCTGTTGCTCGTAGCAACCACTACTGACAAAGTTCCATATTAGTTACAGTTCTGTTGCT